TTTTTATTCTCTAGATTTATTAATTTTTCACCTTTCTCAAGTCATTAGGTAGATAAATATGTTTTCCTAATAAGGACATTTAGAGAATAGAGACCCTCTGGAAGCGTTCTTCTTTTTTTAAATTTTTTTCCCCACTGGTCTCTTCACCTTGTCTATACTCACCAGCTGACTTCAGGGCATAATCAGCCATCTGGACTTGGTCCTCTCTCAACTTTTTAAGCACATAATCTACCAAGACTGACATTTCCTGTACAAATTTTAAAAACAGTTTTCTGTTAACAATGTCTGTCATCTACTTGAGTTTTGGTGGACCTAAGTTCCTTAATCTGCAAAATAATAACAGTGAAAATGTACTGAGCTGCACTCTGAGCCAGGCACTGCACAAGAATTTGGAATGTCACTTGCACAGCTCCATGGGAGCCGTCCTTTTCCAGCATACGAGGTAACTAAAGCTAAGATGTGTCCACCCAGCAAAGTGGACCTGGGGCGCCTTCTGAAGCCCTAACCACTGCCCCACAGTGCTCTCCAGTGAGGAGTAGGATGAGGCTGTGCTACGTGAACTGCTGTGTCCTCTCTCTCATCAGTGTCCTGTGCTTAGCAATAAAGTCTTGAGCATTCTATAGTTATTTGGGAATCCAGGAAGTTTACACAAACCACACAATTTCTTATATTAGAAATTTTCATCCAGTTGAATTAATGTTGGGTTCTGAAGAATGCTCTGATTCTAAAGAAGAGAAAAAAACCAAGCATCCTGCGCAGGCATAACCATTCGAGTTCTAACTGACTAACCGTAACATAGTGACAAGGACAAAATGGGCTGGAGGGCAGGAGCTGCTCAGTGTCAGATTTCTGTGCATTTCAAAAAGTAGACACCTTAAGGAAGGGAAAAGGTAGTGCTGGTTGCAGTAGAGGTGACGCAAAACAAGGCTCATTGGTTTTGTGGTAATTTTGACTAAATCTGGTGCTGACTGGGCTGGATACACCTGTGCAGGTGGCGAATAAACACCTTTGACTATTGAGTACTTGTGTACACTACAGACATTCAGAGACTGCCATTTCTGAATGATAATTTTTGTATTTCACTAGAAAATAACGCAGATTCAGTTACTTATTTTGGTTGGAAGTAAGTCACACTGCAACACAATGTCCACACTGTGACACAGCACTTGTGAAAAAGTGGATGTCCAAGGGCCAGCCTGAGTGAAAGACAGCTAAGGTCAGGGAAGAATGCTCACACAGGGACACAAGTGACCACCAGCCAGCGCTGGATTCTCGCTCTGCAAAGGAACCGGGCACAGCACGGGAGGGGACCCTGGGGACCCTGGGGACTCTCTGAGCCCTGCACACTGCCCAGCCCGCCTCGCCTGGTCCGCAGCGTCCAGGTGCTCGTGGTCCTCGGCAGGCTCCCCATGGGCATCCCCGCTGTCACTGTGTGTACCATCCTTCAGATCTCTAAGTAGTGCCTTCAGGA